AACTTCAAGAGGGAGCACTGCAATTCAGCGGCACCACCAAGTGGAGAGGATAGGGTTCCCCCTACCAGGGTGTGAAGTTTTGATAATTCTAAGTTAAAATGGAGCATTCTATGGCTTCCTATCAGACAGGTCACAGTTGAAAACTGTGGCCACATGTGATCCCTGGTCAATCAGAATTTTATGGTTGCCAGAGGATCTGCTCCCCAGGGTAAGGGGGCGCATGGCCATGGCATGAGGACGCTGCACCCCTGTTTCCTTGTTTAAAACAATCTCTGCTATGTAATTCACTTTTTCCTCTCGGTCACTGCACAATATTAAGTAATATAACTATCAACTGTGTTGAACTACACATTAGAGCAGAGGTGCAGAACATGCACATTGCAAGGTACATATGTATAAAGTAATTGAAATAATATTTACATTTCATACATACCATTTGTAAAGATGCTTTAATGTGTTGTATTATATTTTCATAATTTGTCTATATTTAATAAGCCATATTTTTATGAACATCAATTTGTAAGAACCAATCCTTAAGTATATTTAAACACTGCGCTGTTTACCAGTTTTTTTTAATGTTTGCATGTATAGAAACGTTATAAATTCATTGACTAGGATTATTTTTTTTTTGCATCAAGGAATTATATCCTACTCGCCCAGCTGTTGTATTATACAGATATTGGCGTCATTGTTCCTGCTTTTTCTAAAGCACATACTGTATGACGTATTTAACAGCGGGATATACATTTGCAAATGAGGTTATTCTATCATCTCCTGGTTCTCTACTCACCCCTCACCCCTCACCAGTCGCCAATGGCCAATTGAATTCAGATTTGGCTACAATAAATTGTGTCACTTTTGGTTTTTTTTAATAAAGGCAAACAATTAATCATTCAAGCAGTCAACCTCAGAAAGGTAAATTAAACATGATCGTAGCTTCCCTCTGTTTGTCAAGTGGTTGAATAAGTTATTTACGGGCTGAGAAAAACATCATAGATTAATTATTTTACCACACAGTATTTTGTTGTTAAAAGTAGTTAGCCATTGGTTCATTCTAATAGTCATATACATTACCTGATGTTCCATAATAGGTATTATGGTTCTTATAATTATTTTGAATAATTTAATGTTTTTTGACTTGAAGCACACAATGACAGTTTTGCAGTTAGTCTTTTGTATGTATGTGTGTATCTGTTCGTTCTACTAATATCCCAAGAGCCACATGTTGTTTTTTGATGAAACATGATGCATAGATGCTCTGGGTTAATGCACAGATTTGATTTGATTATGTTTTTGTTGAAATCTATGCATATTAATTACCTAATTTGCATAATGATTAGTCAATTTTTGACTTTTCCACTGATATATCTCGAGTACCAATCATCACATTACAATTAAACTTGGTACATAGATGTCAGAGGACAATGCACAGACCTGATAGTTTTTAGGTTAATATCGTGCATATTAATTACCCTAGTGTGCTTAATTAATCAATTTTCAGCTTTTGATATGTCAAGTACTAATCATTGCATTTCAATGAAACTTGGTACGTAGATGCTCTAGGACTAGAGAGAGACCTGATTAGTTTTGGGTGAATATTTGTGCATATTAATCAACTAATTTGCATAATTAACCATTTTTTAGCTTTTACACATATCTCAAGTACTAATTATTCCATTACAATGAAACTTGGTACATAGATGCTCTAGCACAATGCACAGACCTGCTCAGTTTTGTGTTAAA